AGGAATCCCTTCAACCATATTGGCCCTGAAGAAAGATTCAGACCACCCTGAGTAGATATAACCAGAACACAGAATACCTTCCACTGTCTTCCTCCTTTTCTTTTACTATGATACTTGTAGGAACTGAAAAAGAAAACTGCATCTTCAGGAAGGATCAGGATAGCAGAGTGCACTGGCTGTGCAAACCAGGGATGGAGAAAAAAATCCACCTCTAGGTAGACAGGTCATGGGAAACACTGGAGCTAGTTTTGAGAATATGAGAAAATACAGTGCCTTGGCTGGCCAACTTAGGACACCTTTTGGCATTCCACTGTGCCATGCTCTTGTGCTACCTTACAAGAAGGGACCAGAGAAAAGAGAGGACAGTGGAAGTGACAACAAATGGGGCACTCAGCAAAACGGACCAAAGACTCTTGCTTTAAAAATGGAAAGAATTCGGACAATGGATGGTAACGTGTAATTTATCTCATAGGCCTAGATATGGGATGACAAGACCTTCTGAATGCTTAGAAGGAAATCTGAAAAGAAAAATATTCTTTTATATTGCCTAACTTTATTGTTACACAATGTGCCGTCCTGTGGGAGCAAACCAGATGATTTTGTCCATATCAGCATTGGAGCATGTAGGACTCCAGTCTTCAAATGAAGCCGCCTACAGTGTGTGGCAGCCTACCCAGACCTTCACAGATGGTGGGGTTTTCTGGGTGTCGTTAGCCTGTGCTAGTATAGTTTTGTGCAAAGTTGAGCTTTCTGTCTTTGCATTTTAATAACGCATATTCTGCCTCGTGTTCAGACAATCTATATCCTTCTTATGCAATTACCAGGAATGTAACTCACTGCTTTACGTTACACAGTGTAAAACACACTGATATGGCATAACAGCAGCTTTCTTAAGAGCCCAACAGCCAGCTGGAGGATTTTGTCTCTGGGTCAGGTATACTGGAGATGGCTATCAGGCTAACTTACAGGACCAACAGTGCAGCAGGCCTACAGGGGAGAGCTAAATACAGGCAGTGGGTCCAGACTCTGGGAAGCCCTAGAATTGATACTGCAACTTGACATTTTCCTAGGGCTATGCTATAGTGGGGGACTCTGCTGCCCCTTCAGCAACCCAGAATCAGGAAGATGTCGAGTTAATTTAAGCCCACAATTGCCTCCTCCTTTCCCCAGGCTGTGAATTCTCTACTATAGCCTGAAGAGGTGCAGAAGAGAACATCATCCATTTATATACAGGTTACCAATGACATTAGCCATCTATTATCTATACAGAACCTAAAAGTCTGTTAGGTCATTTATAGGACTTAAATAGACAGGTCCTCCCGGAAGGACCTGTCGTTTGTATTGTGTAGCAAAAATCAGCCTACAGTTGCACTGGAATTCTGGCTCTTCTTGGGCTGTGATATTAAAGAAATGACAATGTTATAAGTTTATTGCCTCTTCTCTTTTGGGCTATACTTTATAACCATATTTACTGAATGCCAGTCCTGAAAAATTCTATTCACCTCAGGCAACTCATTTTTGATAGCTGAGTAAAATATCATTAATGCTTTTTTCATTACCATCAATCCTTGTGGTTATAGGCACTCAGGCAGAACTTGTGCCTAGCCTAGCCAGTTTCTCAAAACTGCTTTGGAGTAGACTTCTGTTAGAGACTGACATCTATCCTCAATATTAATATTCTTTTTCAATAAAAAGAAAAAAAAAGAAGTTTTAAATGAAATTTGTTCAAAGTCTTCAGTGGAATGTTCTCTTTGAAATCCATAATACCATCAGTGGTTTCAATAGGGAATATTGCATAAAAAAACCACCACTAGACAGTCATTGATTCAAACAACCAGTTCTGCTTACAAACTAATGCATGTAATGGCTTGATGTTACCATTCAGATACAGTGAACTAAACTTCGATTGTGCTTCTTTCCCCAGCAAGAACAAAAAGAAAAAATGATCGGTAAAAATCTGATTAAGTAGTATTGAACCGTATCTGATCATCTCCCTTTGAAAATAATTCCACAGAGGGATTTAAGTGTCAGAACCCCCAGTATCACAGAGCCTAACATTTAGGTGGCTGGCTTCCAAAATCAATTCTACAGTAGTGAGCCAGGCTTACAGGCTCAACTTACCATGCCTAGATTCAAAAAAGTCAAGGTGCTGAGCAGAACTTGATGCAAGCTGTCCCATAAGAAATGCTGACATATGATTGTGCCTCCTATACCAGATGAAGAGTGGGAAAAACTCATTCTGATCCCAGAATTCAACGGATGACATATGGGATATGTATGCCCCTTGGCCTGGGGAGGTCAAAACACTTGATTTTCAGCTACTTATAGAGCTCTCCCAACCTGTAACCATTTAGGCTAAAGATTTGTCTGCCTCAAATGGTTGCTTCTCTTTCTTTTCTTCTCTCTTTCACCTTTTCTTCTCTCTTTCACCAAAAAGTCGCATCTTCCAGACAACAAATCTGAGACTGGAAAGGTTGAAAATCACAGGATCAAGGAGAAATGAAACCCAAGCCGATCTGGCCAAACTTCTGAATATATGCCTAGCACGTATCTGCAGCTTGGATAAGTTTCAAACGCAAAGATGTATCATGACAATCAGTGACGGTTCCCTTACCTGTATGTGTTAGTTGCTGGTACTCTCCAGATCTGAATGCCCTGGAGAATCCCTTCAGCTCCAACGATCACACTGAGGTTGGAATTCCTGTAGGCATCGTTGCATTGGCTCTGTGTGGGGCCATAAGGTCCACTGGCACCACATGTTGTGAATAACCAGTGATCTGAAATGAAGACATACACAAAGCATGATCTGAACATCCAAAGACCAAGTAGCTGTTCTGCGCTTTATTCACTTTCTCTTGTCGGACCAAGAGAAGAACCTGGCCCCTGAGGTTTTAGCCAGAACAAATACTCACAGCCTTTTAAAAGACTCATAGTAATGTGTATTTCAGTATTTGACAGCTTTTCATCTACATCTCCTGAAAGCTATCACAACTATGAACATAGCTTTACTTTTTCTGAGGCTCAAAATGGCGAAGATCACAGAGGAGAGTAGAGTAAAATGCAACACAGACCACCTAGTTTTGGGCTCTGCTCTCTGGGCTGTTAAAGTGCATGCTCATAACCTCAAGACTGATGCATTTTAGCCATTTCAGTTTCTACAGACATTTGATTATTGAATTTATTTTATATGGGAAAGTAGCTGTTAATTAGATAAAAACCTGTAAATACAACATCATTTCAGTGATTAAAACATAACAATAAACTAATTGTATTTTGAATAATTATTTGCTCACAGGAGATTCAAGTTAAGCTTCAGAACGCAAAACATTTAACTGAGGCCTGTAAAACAAGCATTCAGCTCTGCATGTTCTAGGCCAGATCTTCAGGTGTAAATCAATGCATCCCTATTACAGCCATTTTTATCAACTGGAAGTACTAGCCCTGTACAAATAGATTTCTAGAACAAGGCTTTGCTAATTCGTGCCTCAAAAATCTAATTTTTTAATTTGAACACATGATGTTGAAAATGCTGTCCTTTTCCTTAAAGATTCTTAAAGGATATTCTGAAAGGGCCAGCACAGTTGCAAGACCACAATGCTCTTGTAAAACCCACCCTAACATATTTGCTAATATATCAGGAAATATTTCATATGTAATCAAAACTGAGATCTAGATGGTAAATAAGTGGACTAAGCATTTTTTGTGCACATTACATGATTTATCATTCATACTTACTAACAAGCTAATATACACAATCTAATAAACTCCGTTAGTTAATTCTGCTGCCATTAAAGACAGAAGACTTGAAATACACCTAAAGAATATTATTTCTACAAATGATGTTGGGCCAGCCAGCCCTCCTTACGGCTTTCTCAAAGGGCACCGTTTTCCCCCCCAGCTTCCACTAATGTAATACAACACATGCAGACTCTTTCTGCGATGGTACTAATTAGCTCAGATAGAGCATTAGCTTGATCTGCTTCTTGGAATTTGGAGCTATTGTCTAAGCAGATCTTACCTAGAAATGATGGTCTGCTTGTGTCTGGATGAGAGAGGCCAGCAGTTCTACCATTACTGTTACTGGAGGGGTTCACCCACCAGAAATACAAGGCAACACCTTAGTCTAGCCAGGCACAAGGTCTGAATTACCTTTTCAAAACTAATCCTGAAGTTGAGCTAAATTCCTTCTCACAAAAAAGTTCAATGCATGAAATGGATCAAATAATTTGGCAGGACTTTAAGAAATAAAATGGCTGGTATTTCTGAAAAACCTTTGTAATACAGTCTTGGCTATTCCAAGAAGCAATGCAAAACTACTACTTTTGGAAAGCTTCCCAATCTAAGTACTGCTGAGAGAATAATCTCTTCCTTCTTACTCCAAAATCTACGCCACTCCTCCTCAAAACTCCCCTGCAAGGGTCCTCTAGAGTTTTTGCTACTGTTATTTGTTTTATATGGATACTTACATACTTATTTTACTTATTTCTCCAATCCTTCTGCGATGGGTGGCAGTATAAAGTCTTAAAATTAGTAGATAGCAAATGGAAGAATTCCCCTCTCCTCTTCTGCCTCCGGTGTACCCCCCAAAAACCCAAGAACACCAGGAAAGAGGAGAAAAGCACCTAAGAAAGCAAGGCCTAAAAGTTCCTAAAGCAAAATCCTTCCGTAGCTCTGATATTGACAGTCTTGCACCAGAGTTACTTATGTTTATTCTTGCAAAAAAAAAAAAAACCCAAAACAACCCAAAACCAAAGCAAAATCTCACACAAAATGGAAGATGAGAGACTCATTCTGTCAGCTATCGCAGTGATTTAACGTTGCAATATCCCAGCGGGCTAAGCCACCTGCACTGAAACATATGTTTAGTAAAGCAGGCAGGTAAGTGTCTTCGTTTGGAACAATAAGAAGCCATTTGGATGTCTCCAGTGAAACATCAAACATGTTCCCAAAGGTAGAAGCAGGTGACCTTCAAGGGGACAATAAACCCAAAACATGAGAGAATCAAAATGGAAAACTGGAAGTGATAAAACCTAGGACAGACCACAGCATGTGCATACTGTTGCTATGGTTAAGCTTTGCATTTCCGATTTACTCCCTTTAAATAAATCTCATTCCTTAGGTATCTGCTTACCTGGCCTTGGCAAAAGTATCTCTAGACTATCACACATGTAACACACAGCACAGCTGGACCTGAAACCGGCAACTCTTGACTCCCACTGGGTTCCAGGGACAGGGGATCAATGAACTGTCTTATTCCAAAATGCTTTTTAATGGCCCTCTGTTTCCTTAAAAGCCCAATGCCCTGGTGGAAAAGAAGAAAAACGTCCTCCTGCTGCAAACATTATGCCTTCAGACTTTGAACTGAAGCAACCAGAACAACTTTTGTATTTTCTGCCTCTTGGACAAACTAGAGGGGGCTCATTTCCAGTGCAGAGGCAGTATCAGGGTAAGAGCAAACAGTGCTGCTAATTTAAGATTACTGAATGTGCATCTAAGCTCTTAGAATCTGGCTTTTAAGAGCATGAGAGTACAGGGAATGAAAAACCGCAGATATGTTATGCCAGGGAGTATGTCGTAAGGAACCTGGAGATGACTGTGCACAGGAGGTACTGTCTTAGATTTCAAAAACGGTCCTGTTGCAATCGATACAGTGATATATACAACATTGTATGTAAAGCCTCCCAGGTTCTGCAGCTGCTGCAGTGAGTGCTAGCAGACACATTTACTTGCTTTATTCAGGTAGATGGTAGACAGGAATGGGAGAAGACTTGTTTCAGAAGTAGCAGAGCTGGGTAGTGATCTTTGCCCAAAACATTGCCGGAGGAAGTCTGGCCCAAGTGAAGTCCATAGGGAGACCGTACCTGATTTGAACCAGCAAGGATCTCAGTAAAACCTACAGCCAGGTGTTGTGCGATCTCCTCATTTGTCACTGCTGCATTGACTTGCAAACAGTCCTCCTCCTGTTTATATGCACTTTCAGATGTGATACTGAAAGCCAGTCCAACATGTAACAGCTTTGTCGCTGAATTAAATGGGAGAGAATATGGCATGGGAAGAAGTCGCCCCTCATTTCAACATAATTAGGACAGATGGGTCTTAGTTACAATTCTGGATACAGACTAAAAACCTTGCACTTCCCTCCCTCTGCTCTCTTAAACATTTCACAAAGCCAACCCTCAATCTGCAGATGTAACAGTAGCCCAAGATCTTAAACCACTAACCCAGTAACAAAACAGAGTACTGCCCATCTTAGATAACCCACCACTTCTTTTTTTAAGTAAGAATAACCATTCACTCCCTGTAAAGTATTGATTTTCTCCTGATTCTAGACATGACTGCAGCATGTCTCATGAGCTCAGAGAGAGCATTTCTACAGATTGCTGCATGCCACAGCAGTTTACAGTAATTCAATTTGAAGCATTATTTTGATCTCCAAAGACTAAAGCAACAGCACTGAATCGAAAATCCTTAAATAGCTAGGTGAGAAGCATAGATTTTTCCCATCGGTGCACAACTGTGGTCTGTCACATACTGCACGGCATACGTCTCCTTCCTTCTGCAGTGTGCAACAGGCTAACGTTGCCGGCACCTCACACTCACATGATGGGAAAAAAAGCAGGACTCTCCAGTCTAAATCTTCCCAAACAACTAGCAGATTTCGGAAGTTTGCCCAACTTCACACAAGTTACAGACGCCCAGAAACAGCTGAGCATTCCCATGATGAAAACTAACAGGTAGTTCAACGTAGGGTCCCTATATATTCTGTCATTGGCAGTTGCAAGATGCTAACTGCGTTTAAAAACTGGAAATTCCTGTTTAAGGCTGGGGAAGAAGAAAAGAAGTGAAGATTACACTGAGATTCAGAATTGGGGTACTACATTTCAGTGAATAATTTATACATCAGTTCATTTGACGGAATCCCCACTTTAACAAGAAATGTGGCAGAGGAAACATTTGGTCTTCTGCTGTTCACCCACACACCTGCCGTCCTCAAGCTCCTGGCAGTCTCCCAACACATTGCTAAGGTCCCAGCAGCAACATTTTGCAAGGAATGCCATTTTGGCTCTATTAAAACAGATTTTAAAAAATCTCTTCTTCCCAACTTTTCTTTCCAAATTAGATTTACCGATATATTTATACACACAGTCACTCATGCTTATTTTCTTCTGCACAGCAGAAATTCTAGTTTTCACACAGCTTGGCTGGATACATAAAATGCACAGCAATCAAGGCACTGGATTTCAGCCACAGCAAAGGGGACTGATGTCCTGCTCTTGGAAAACAAAAAGAATAAAACCCCACAAGACTTAAAATGACTAATTCATTTGAAGCTCTGATACTATTTGCAGGCACTGCTGCAAATAACAACCAGCAACAATGAAGAGAAAACAGTGGAGCAAAGCCTAAAGCACATTTGTACTTCTAACACAGAAAGCAATTTCAGTGGCACATACAGCACATAAACTCCGTATCACAAAACAGACAGGCATTTTAGCTATACCTCAAGGGCCTAAATGTATTAACTGGCATTTGTTAAATTAAGCTGGTTTGAACTGAGGTTCAACTTGTTCCAAACCAAAACTTAACTGTTGATTTGAGAAAATTACCAACCAAGCACCACGCTACTTGGCTTATTTTGGAACCTAGAGTAACGCACTAGTGAAATGCATCAGTGCTTTAAAACAACGTGTAGGCACTTCGTGAAACTTGCTGCCACAACCTCTATTCAGGCCAAGAGGCTATCCCTACTTCCAATAGAGTAAAAAAAACATTAATA